AATTTTCGGAACATTTGTTGTAAAATTTCTTGCTTGCTTTCCCCTCCTAGGATTTTCCAACATCTAAAAAATGGTATAATTGCCCATTTTAAACGGATTTTTACCCTAAAAAGGTCACCTAGAATTTTCGGGAGCCTTTTTTCTGGCTGAAATTTTCGAAAAGGTAAGTTTTGATCACTAGACTTTCAGCTAGGAAATCCGAACAGCTGAAAAATTTTTAGGAGATGAAAATATGCCTATATGTACCATTCAAATACTAAAATACGTTCAACAATGCTGTGTTTAAGTGGTTTTGAACTATATTCTCGTTGGGTGCCCCTGAGTAGAGGCCTGGGTCTAAACAGACTTCTCAGAATTTATAAATATTTCAGTGATGTAAGTTAGTTTCAAGGCCGATCATAACCTAGAGGTTTTCAATTTCATGTTTAGTTAGAAATTGCTTGTAACTTCATCACGGGACCAGCCATGTCCTGTTTTCTCCTCGTATGAATTTGAAAGAAATGAGCTCCCGGGGGGCTTAATAGAGGATTTGCGGTATTAACCTAACTGTTTCGCGTTTTGCATAGGTTTTGCTTGGTTTTGACCCCTAAGGATTGGAACTTCGCCTGGGCGCAAACTGGGTGGATGTACATTTCTTATTTTGGCCATCTGGCTTCCAAGGATGTGTGCAAGATCAAAGTTTTGCGTTCTGGTGTTGCCTAAAATGTGCAAGTGAAGAACAAAATAAGAAGAAATGTACATTTCAGGCACATTGCTCGCTGGCCGCAATTATTAGACAACGGCAGTGCAATTGCGTTCTTTCAGCTTCTTTGTGATAATTAATTCAAACCAGTTTCTCGCAAAAAAAGGCGGATATTACTAGGGGTGAAATCGAAGTGAACGAGATATGAAAAGACAGTCCTTTATACATTTAGCAGATTTCAATAGTTATAAGAGATTTGGCCTTTGGTTTTCATCTGTATTGTGCACTGAGTGTAAAAGTGCCATTTTATAAGTCTTCCATACCTTTTAGACTTTTAAATAGAGACAAGTTTAGTTTTCGTCTACATGTATTTTTCGGAGTGGTAAAAGTGAGTATTCCGAATGAAGTACTTTGAGACTAATAAAACAGAGTCATAATTAGAAGTCACAATGTCAAGGGGACGTAATTTTTCAAAATGTCTTAATACAACGATGAATATAATTATATTTAAAAATTAATTTACGACCCAGTCTTAATTATTACTAATTGTTCAACCAACGAGACCTTCACACTACGAAATAACTGCAACATAATTATATATTACTTGTACTTTTACTCATTTACAACTTTTAAAACTTGCGTCCCCACCACCCGCAGTCAATCTTGGCAATGGGTCTTTTTTATATATACTGGTTTATTTGCCAAGCACCGTATGCATAGATGGGTTGGTTTTGATTTGTAGATAAAACTGACAGTTATCACTAACTATTTTAGCCTTGATTACTTTTAGTTTATAACGTTTTTTGTCAAAATCAATTAAGTTACAGTGTGTATTTCGATAATTTAGGTCTTAGCTAATTTACTTGTTTTTGTTTTGTGAAATCTTATTCGTTCATTTTTTCAGCTGTATGTCACCTTGTGTAATTACTTTTACTCAGTAATTAACAAAATACAATACACTCGGTTTCTGTTTGAGAAGAGATTCTTCTTCCTTTTGAGGTTTGTGGTTGCGCCAGGCGAAATACCTTTTCAGTCATGTTTTCATAATTAAAAAAAGACTTAGGTTCAGCACTTACTATATAGCGCATGCAAAGTGCAATAAAAAAGGAAATGTAAATCACGAAAATACTTCCTTTCGTTTAACATTCATCTTTAAATACGTACAATTTGCAATTGTCTTTTAAATTTCTTGTAAATTGTCTTTAAATATGTACATCTTGACTTGTGCCTCTTGACTTGTTACAAAAAGATGTTGCTTAATTTATGTGCTTCAAATCAAAATACCTGTTTTGTTGTGAGGTGCAGGGTTGGAGGAGGTGTTAATAGCTGTGGACAATTGGAAAAATACTCGAATAATAATGTCGATACTGTTTTTGGTAGACAAACACCATATAGTCCTCTTTCGCAAAGAAAACTTAGTCTACTAACTTGTTTTTTTCAGTATAACGGTTTTCCCAATATTTCTTTCATTCTTACGTTAACCTCAACGTCACCCCCCTCCATAACCACCTCCCACAAAAACGACAACGATCACGCTGCCCCTTTATAGTTTCATTCTTTTGCTCTTTTTTTTTTTCTTTATAGCGGAAGGTGGGGTGGCGTTAATTAAGCAGTAACACTCGTGTACCCGTATGTATACAGTATATCCTAGCTAGGGCCCCACACCTGTTGGTTGACATCAATACAATGCAGTCGTGTGAATTTATTGCATGTGATTTAATGTGTATAGTCAATATCAACTTATTTGATTCATGTTACTATTTTAAAAGAAATCCAGTGCTCTTGCTCTCTGTTCCCGTAATATCATGTGTTTCTTCTTCATCGAGCTGTAAGACACTAAATAGGAAGTTATACAGGTGGCTACGCAGCTAAAGGGAGGGAAAAAAATTCCGTTTATATGTGTACGTGGGGCGTGAATGAAAAAGATTGTATAAAGCCTGAGCAAAGAAAATACGGTAAAGTCCCTAATGCGGTCTTTGGATGGAAATGGATTGTAATGTTGGCTAGCCTTTTTCAAGTTTAATTCAGGTGAAAAATTCAAGCGACACTGATTGAAATAGTGCCTCAAAATAAGTAATCTGACAAAATTTTTTGCTGGCCAGGATATATATTATTGCTCGCCAAAGTGGCGGAATTTCACAAAACGCCCTTCTTTCAAATATCGCCCCCCCCCCCCCCCCCCCCCCCCCCCCCCCCC